CATACATACATATAGAGGGAGAGAGAGAGAGTTGAACTTCCTTAAAGTCAAATCCGCGAAATTGCATTGAAAAATTTTTGGACGTGATAGAAATTTTGACTTACAAATCATTAATTAATGAAAAATATTTTTATGTGTTTACTTGAAAAATAAATCAGTGTTACATAAGTTACCCAGTTGTCCATCTTCTTTGCCCTATCAATCAAACCCATCTGAAGTTTTTCACCAAGACCACCTGGCTGCCCAAAGTTATCCACAAGCTAGGAAAAGCAAAGGAATAGGTCATATGTTAACGAAAGTGGGATGAAAAAAAACTCCCAAAATTTACTTTTATGTTATTATATATCACACAACAGAAAAACGCAAACACCATAGCATTAACAGTCTTTCCTATTATTGAATTTAAGACTATGATCTTCTTTGATTAAAAGTTTCTCACTACTATTGTTACTGTAGTTTCTAAGGGCCCGTTCAAGCAAAAACGTCAACCGTATTCCATTATATTCACCGGTTAAATGCAATGAGCTCATAGTGGGTGGTCGACTGTTCAAGCAAGTTTTAGCTAATGTTAAATAACGTGTAACGAAACTACTCCGGAAGAAAATTGCAAAGGTCATATGCAAATGACAAAACACTTATCCCACCAACCCACTGTTTGCTGGGCCGGGGCTGGGTGAGCTAGTTTATTTAAGATAATTTCTCCAAATAATGGTAAATCTAAAAATTGAATGCGTTGGCTACAATGATGTGATGTTACGCTGATGGATATACTGTACTGTCCAATCAAACTTTACTTTCGTCATGCATGTGGGGTAGCAAAGAAGAGCGTGACGTTGGCGGGTACTAGATGCCGCAGCCAGGCCTGGGCCGTAAACCTACTGAATTTTGCACGCTGGACTGTGGACAAAACATTTGGAAAAACAATTAAGGTTGATTTATCAACCCTCCGGCTCCATGGTCATCCCATGCATGGTATCCTACCCAGCAGTTTGGTGGTCAAAATTGTCGCGGATATTCCAGATGGTAAAGTAATTAGGCTAGTGTCCGAGCGGATTCAGAAAGTATGTACCGGTGAATTAACTGGTAAATTGCACAGACATTTTTTGCTCGAACAGGCCCTAAGGCAAACATTACATTTTCAGCCTTAAAATAATATAAAAAGTAGCCTAAACAAGCGTTGGCATCATGCATCACCTACTATAGGGGGTGGGTTTGCAGGATGCTGAATTCTTTTTAGGTTATTGACATATTTGTAAAACTAGGCAATTATGAAAACAAAGATAGGCATTTATAATCGGTATAAAAAAAACTGAATTTCTTTGGCCTTGGCCACCCGCTGAACAGGAAACAACCTTTTCTTTTTTAGGATGGTCTAATTATAAAAATAATTATACAGTGACTGGAAGTGTTTCTACAGTATCATTTTTCGCTGCTAAATTATTGGTAATCATGTTTTATGTTCTTTTTATCCTTTTATTGTCTTAAAAATAGTTTTGTATATTGTCTCCATGTCCCTTATTGTACAGTATAAGTAATGTTTTTAATGTCCTATTTATTTCTTTTATTGTCTTTTTTTTTTATAGTTTTTATTAGTTGTTTCCTTGTCCTTTTATAGTTGTAGTATCAGTATAAGTAGTGTTTTTACAGAAGTTTTGGTGTAGTATCATCGTTGTAAAATGTTGCTTTGTATTTTTATTAATGCTAAACAATTTTTTTATCTTATTTAATTCAAACTTTAATGTACTATAAATCACATGTTTTTATTCTCCAGCTATTTGTAACTGAAATAAAATTAAATAAATGAAAAGGAAAAATATTAAACACATTGATTTTCATTAAAAAAAAAAGTTTTTAAAAATGCTGAAGATAATAAATCGCTTAATTTAAGACCTGTACATTTGACATTTCTTTCTAATACTCTTTTACAGCCCATCACTATTATAATCTAGGACTACAGTATGCTACATGACTGACCAGGATGCTGAATACAGAAATAAAAAAAAGTAAAGATACAATTCTTATTTGATGCCCGAATTGATAGGTTTATTATATCAGGTGTTCCTACGAAGAGCAAAAAAAAAATATTATTTCCAGTTTCTCATTGCTGTCGGATAAAAATGTACAATTTAAAATAAAATACCTTTTTTGTTGCATCAAAGTCTGCATCAGAGACCAGTGGTTTGATAGATAACAAATATCGATACAGAGTCTGTTGAAGGGGTGGAACTGGTAACTTTGGTAAGTGTCTCTGATGGATGAACATACAGCCAGGCTTAGCCTTCACTGGTATTAGGCATGCTGTAGGCCTAAGAGCTTGCTTCATGGTACTTGCCAATGTGTACTTCACCTAAAAACAAAAAAAAAGGAAAAAATTCCAAATGAAATCAACCAAGAATGTACTTTAATCCCCCAGATTTTGTTGAAATTAAAATTTTGGATGGTTGAGACACTATAAATATGGTTTGAATGAAGAAAGAGAAGCGAATAGAAAAAAAAAATGCCTCTTGATGTGTGCGAGATGCCTGCAACAGCTTTGATGACCTAAGCACTTCAGGCACTTAACAACCATGTATCTTAAAAAGTATAATACTACACTTGGTTTTCAGTGTCATAGCTATTGAAGCCCTATAAGTTTATAAGTATATGCTACCAACTACTCATATCTACCATTAAAAAGTTATTGTAAATTAATATGAAGTTCAAATTGAATAAAAAAAAATGTTGTTCTTCTAATCTAATTCAGATGGCAAAGAAGCATCCCTATATAAATATGGCAATTCTGTATCCTGAACGGTGCTGTGCACTTTCTGTACATTCAACCATACCTGTATACAGTATAGTATTAAACTCTATTTTATCAGAGCATGGTTCAATGTGTGTTGACAAATTAGTACAGTTTAGGTGAAGAATACTTAGAATTAATAGGAAAGCTGCAGCTACTGTACTGTGCATTTGGTGGTACTGACCTGCAACCAATTGAAAGTACATGAAGACTGTGTTGTACAGTACTAGATATGGGTGCTGAGTCATTCCCTGAGTCATTTTTAACGGGGATTGGTCCCCCACATTTCGACCGCAATGTAAAGAAAATGCCTGAAAATCGTTGAAATGAACTGTAAGATTTTAAGAAACACCGCTGTACGGCTAGAGTACATCTTATCCATTCGCAAAATATAGGTATTCTGCCCATCCCATAAACATCTAAATTCCATAATAGGGCCTACATGACTCAAGTATGCATGCCTTTATTATAATTATTTTTTTTTCTTTTTTTTTTTAAGATACGCATCAAATGGAATAAAAATAACCCACAGAGGCCTAGAATGGCAATATAATTACATCAGACTTTGCATTAGGGCAAATAGAAAAATTTATTAGAATAATAGAAAATTTTGGAAATTTTGATAATTTTATTTCAGTCGCGGTTTATTTCGAACAAATATATGGAGCGCTTCGGCCGCGCCTCATTTCTGTCGCGGTTTATTTCGAACAAATATATGGAGCGCCGAAGAGTTGCGAAAATGCAAAATTTAGTATGCCTAGGCCTTATATTATTATTATAATTAGTTCGTCAAGCGGTTTATCATACTGTAGGCCTAAGTATTTTTTTATTTCCGTTTTGCTATCTTTCTACTAGCAACATTTTATCTTTCTACTAACATATTATTCTCTTTCTTCCATTTACGGTGATATGTTCATGATTGAAACATGATCTTATGATTGAAACAATGGAATTTAGTATGTGCTTCATGCTATTCTTTTTGTTGCATTTTCATATACTATACTTTAATAATTATGGTCAATAAAATGTATCTTTGATTTTACTTGAATTGAATGTTGTCACCATCTGAAATCTATTTCATAACTTAGTTAAAACAATAATCATTACAATATTTAATCCGATCTTTTTATACAATTAATTAATTTATTTTTCCTGCAGCTTCCAGAGTTTGGATAAAACATACCAAGAGAATTGAGGAAAACACAATTAAAGAAATAAACGAATAATACACACATTATCATTCTTCACTTGAAATCTTTAACTTTCTTTGATGCCCATGTGCAGTTCATAAATATGAATATATATATATATATATATATTTATATGATTTTATATAAGCATATAGGATATACCTAAAAACAACTATACATATATATATTATATATATAGGCCTATATACACATATATATATATTTATACATATATATATATATAATTATTATATATAATTTATACATATTTAGTTATATTACACATGAAATCCTATAACAAATATATATTTTACTATCCATTTATTTTTGTATTTTATAAACATGACCAGCAGCCAGCGCAGACGATTCAAAGTTACTGGTTTCATGAAGTAGGTAAAAACACGTGAAGTGGTGGACTGCGCTCCAGCGCACGTGTTTGTACCTAGAAATAGCTAGTCATCTATTTTAGCATCTGACCTACTTCTGTCTTTGCAGTAATGTATCAAAAATGGAAATAAAACAAACAAGAAACCTCAAAACTTGTATCAGCTTCACCTTAAAGTCAGATTCCAGAGGGGGAAAACGGGGGCGTAACCGCCATTTTTACACCTTTTTCCCCCAGTTTTTAAATATTCAAAAATCTGTATCTCATTCACTGTTGCTCAGTTTTTGATCAAACTACTTTTTTCTGTCTTAGAAAAATCAGTTCTACAACATATCAACAATTTTTTTTCCTCTGGAGCCTGACTTTAAGAGTACCATGGGAATCAATTTGTGGAAATGTTTCTTTCCACAATTCCAGTTATGCAACTAAAGAAATAGACCTAGCAAGTTGAGTAATTTTCTCGGGCTTATGAATATAAAAGAAGCATGAAAACGGCTTTTAAAATGTACAGCATGCAATTATAAATTTATTTTTAATTTTATATGGAAAATAAAAAATATGAAAATACATATTTCCTTTACAATATTATTATAAAAATGTATGGTAAATGGAAACGTAACAGACAGGAAAAATCTATTGACTAATTATTCCATAAATCTTTATTTGATTCAAGCATAATAATAAATATTATAGGCCTATATCGCAACAAACAACAAAGTTCCAAGTTGGACTGCTTCCAACTTGGAACCCTTGCTTGGCCTATATTAATAAGCTACCTAGCCTAGTGCCTAGGCTACACTATTTCAGAGGCCTAGCTAGTACTAGGCCTAGGCTAGGCCCTAGTTAGTAGTAGTTGGCAGGCCCCTCCTCTAGCCTAGGCGCTACTACTACGACGGCTAGCCTAGGCCTAGGCCTAATTTGCCCTCGGTGTAGCCTAGGCTAGGACTAGGCCTATGCCTATGGCTTGCTAGTCTAGACAGTCTAGTCTAGCACGCTAAATGTTGTATTCCATAAGATTCCAAAAGAAAATACACCTAAAATTAAAGCTTACCACATGTAATACTTCCATCCTCAAAAACGGCTGTGCTTCGTTCTTCGCCCCCCGCGTGATGATTAATGATCAACATAAATATTGCTATGGAACGCCAAAAGGACACAGCCAAAAGTGGCAGTGCACTCAAGCTGCACACAAGTGGCCGTAGACCAAAGATCTTATAAACACAAGATAGCGTTCTCCGGGCTTTACGCGTGCAAATTCTGTAATAAGGCATGAATGGCGCCCTCTTGCTAAATTGGAAACTTTTGACCCTTGACCGCTCTGATCTGACCATACATTACACCGCCTGTGAACAGCAGAACAGGAACCATCTCAGATCCATGGCAACAGATAGGACGCCCTCTTCCAAAGCTTATTACTTTTTCTCTTCGGTAATAGCGCATGAATGACGCCCTCTTGCTAAATGGGAAACTTTTGAACCTTGACCGACGCTTCTATTTGTTACGCGTAAATCGCGGAGAACGCTATCTTGTGTTTATAAGATCTTTGCCGTAGACTTACCACAAGTCTCTTATTTTTTATTATTTTTCTCATTCCGGACAGCGCCACCAACGAGAAAGTTAATTTATAGACCAAAGATCTTATAAACACAAGATAGCGTTCTCCGCGATTTACGCGTAACAAATAGAAGCGTCGGTCAAGGTTCAAAAGTTTCCAATTTAGCAAGAGGGCGCCATTCATGCCTTATTAAAGAATTTGCACACGTAAATCGCGGAGAACGCTATCTTGTGTTTATAAGATCTTTGTTATAGACCGAATAAGCGACTTGTAAAACACTGAAATCAGGCACCAGGATGTCAAAAGAATGACGTAATCTTATATTCCGTATTTGGATAAGTAACAATAACATTTTCAACCAATCAAATGTTCATATTTTTGGAGCCACGAAACTGAGTCACTCGCGTCGACTAGTCAGGCCATAGGTCCATGGTTAGACATGACTAAATTTAAATAGTCTTCCCTAATAAAACGGGCCTAAAATATTTAGAATAGACCCTAGTAAGACTAATGTTGGCAATGGCAAAAACAATTAAGCTTAGACTAGATGGCATACCATACAAATACAACAAAACTTTAACTTTCCAATAGGATGGCTCAGGCCTCGCCTGGAGTCAGGTAGTAGGCCTAGCCTAGACTAGTAGAGGTTTGGCCTATTTTTAAGTTCTTACTTACAGAGGCCTACCTTTAATTTTAACAATATTCTACCCTAAAGGCCTAAATCTGTGTAGCAGCTAGTGCGGTGAACGAGGTTCCAAGTAGGCCTATAGCCTACGGTTATCAGTCCATGTCGTTCTCAGCAGGCCAGAACTATTATACTAACTGTTTTAATTCAAGTAGGTAGCCAAAAGTGAGCTGGAGCTTGTTCTAGTCGAGACATCCGCATCTTCAATTTTGAAAATTTACCAAGATTGATTAATATGCATGAAGTTAGCCAATCACGTGATTTACAAAATCAGTCATGCATACGATATCCCACA